AACAACCCTCTATTATATCGCCGAGAACTTGCCAAGGATACGGTGAGCTTTTCTTCTTCCCTCCTTTCGTCGACATATTTCGGTTTCTTTCGGCCTCGCTTCGGCTTCACTTCGACTTTTCTACTTTCTCGCTCTTTCTATCCGGCGCTTCTTTTCAAGCATTTTGCTTCACGGCGAAATCAAGATCCGCGTTCTTATTCCGCGAACAACAGTATTACAGGTACGATAATTTTTAATCGGTGCGCCGTGTTGCGACAGTCGTTAATCCTCTACTGAGTCTTCCCAATAACAACAAGATGAAACAACTAATTGAATTTACTATTGATTTACGAAAATGTATCAAGAAGTTTCTAACGTAACTTACGTGAAATGTTAATGTCATCGCCTCACAAACTTGAATCTGTATCTGATTTTTCCGAACACTGACAATTAGTCATTACCAACGACAAATCGATTTGATATGAAATACTTATAATAATAGCGTCACATAAAATAACAGAGGTTTGTGAGGCTATACCAATTTCCAATATTAGTTTCAACATCCCTTTTAACTAGACTCCTCTCGAGCTTGTACTCCAGTTTACACGTTTGTAATATTCCCACTTTCCTTAATGGAATCCCGTGTTACTAAACAGGCAGCAATTAAGATACTATTGGAAACCAATAAGTTGTACATACTTACGCTAATGCTGTATACAAGGATGCTGCTTTGTACGAATATCTGCGAAGAGACTCCAATGCCCCCTAATATTAACAGTGAGAAAGGAAATGCTCCGAGAAAAATCTTTTTTCTTTTGCTTACGTTAACTTTAAACCTTCAAATCTTATCAAGAGGCACCGATAATTGTCCCTTAGAGACGAAGTGGCAAATGAACCGTAACGCGGACTCAAACTGTTCTGGCATTTACACTTCCTCGTTGCTTCCGTCGTTTAGCCAACTCAATTTCCCTTATCCAAAATAGAAGGATGGGAGCCATATCCAAAGAAATTTACATCCTGGGGTGAAATATATGTTAAAGGAGTCAGTGTGTAGTTTTCTGAAAATTGCATGGATCTATGAGATGAGATAATTTTATTTCAACAGTAGTCAGACATCTGACGATAATCAGTGAGGAATGTTCAATCTAATTTAATGATTGTCAAGATTTGATAAGAAGCCAATATGTATTTACTATCAGGCACGTGATAATGGTAGGTCTACATATAAAAACGAAATTCCTATTAGAATCAAGTTATTCGTTTCACATTCTGCAATCATGTTAGACTTGTAAGTATCAACTTGTACGATTTTTTAAAATTCGTTATATCCATTCAATTGACTAAATTCTGAAATTGAATCACCACTATTATTATTTACTTTGTTGATAAAAACTTAATTAAATATAGTATAACAATTCATTAGCATATAATTGTTCCCTTTCAGATTGTATAAATAATGTAGATTTTTCATTAATTGTTTTTATGTGCAAAATACTACTTTTTTATAAAAAGAAACTTTAATTACTACAAAACTTAATTAAACACTATTATACAGTGTTTATCTAAATATGGACTACATGTTCTTGCACAATGAATATTTTATCGGATGGCTATGAATTACCCGATTAATTTCTCATTAATCAAATATATCTTGTCCATATTTTATGTCAGCATGTTACTACGTGATACGAAGAGAGCTAGAGGCTTCTAATGATACAGTTTAACTTGTAGTCATGAAATTCATGAATTACTCCAATTTAAATCATAATTATTATTCAAACACTCACGTAGAGCATCTGTCACAGACACTTTTATTGTAAAAAAAATTAAATCTAACAAAGTTGATTCCCATTTTTTGAACTCCTTCCCATTTCACTTGTGGGATAATGTGTAAACAGAAAGTATACCAAGTAGTACATAAAGTACTTACAATATAAGAACGGCAAGAACGGCATTTCAAAAGGTAATTGATTTATATCGCTGGTTCACTAAGTTTTTTCAGTATTTTAATTATAAAGGCTATCAGGTCAGTTTCTATTACCTTTATTATTGAATTGTGTTATGTACAGTATGATGAATATATTGGCTAGTAGAAGCTAGAATTTCACCTATGGTTTTATTAGAATTTGCGATTTTCAAAATATCCGAATGTTTGATATATCGTTGACTCAGTGGCCCGACGATGGTCTGTATAAAGACTGCAGATTTGAATGAATCATTTTTTCCCAAATAAATTCGTGCTTTGCTTTCTAGAAGTATATGATTGCTGTTATACAGAGCAAATAATATTTCATTTTTCATAAGCCTATTGTTTATTCAAAATCATTAGGATCTGCTTAATAAAAAGTAACAGAGGTATTTTTCTCTAATTTTGTTTGAATTGTAAAAATGTTTTCAAAATACTTTTGGAAACTTTTTTAGAAAGCTCTGACGAATTCGAAATGTACTTGAAATCGTTTAAGACTTTCAGATAGATCTACACACGCAATGAAAGTTATTATAATGTCTCACTGGCAAAAGCTTAAGAAAATCATCGAATTTTCAAATTGTAAGTGACAATAATTTGAAGTTGAATGTATAAAGAAACGACAATGTAACTTCAACCTTTAGGAAACTTGGAAAATCGTTTTTTCAGCTCTACGTCGTTCTTATATTTGTCTTACAGTATAACCTTTAGCAGTTGTATTACAGGTCCAAGTCAAAAACTAAAAGTTGTTTCAAAAAATCCACTCGTCTTCTGAAGGCTCGTGGATTTATAAAGAAGAAAAACTTACGTCATTGAATTCTTGTATAGCCTCAGTCCTACATACTTCTAGGGACGAAATAGATTTAATTGAATTAGGTTCATCCTAGGAAAGAGATTTTTCAATAGTACACAAAATGCTGATATCAATAGTTGAAATCCACAGAAAAATAAGACGTAAGAAAGATTCAATATCAGATATCAAAAAAATTTAGTTCAATTCGGATTAAAGAAATAATTAGAATTTCGATAAAAATTGCATATAACAATTGAATCAGCCAAAATATCATTGTTCAGAACGAACATTTGTGCATTCCGCTTAGAAAGTCCCCATAAAATATAACCTAAAGTATTGATTAATCAAAATTTGTGTCGTCTAGATCCAGTAAATGATATTTGTTTAGAATTGAGAACTCAAAAGATAATAAGATGCAATTAGATAGTTATAACATATTTATGATCAAATTACAAAATCGTTTTTTCTTCTTTAAGTTTAATTAAAGTTTAATTAATTATAAGAGAAGAATTATAGAATATCCACGAGTAAGATTAGAATCATACTATCCGGATAGCAAAGCGTGAGCGAAGAAAAACGGGACAGCACAAATTTCTGTAATTTACTGTATATTTACCAGCAAACGAAAGTCGATGGCAGAGAAGTCGCCGATTTCTATTGCGATCTTTAAAAGTCTCTGTCAGGCTCTTGTAGGGTAAGTCGCATCTGCGTAACAAGGAAAATAACATAAAAGTAGCATAGATGTCCTAAGTGGCAATCCAGTGCTACTTTCCGGTGCTACATTGCATTAGGCATACCGTTTGCAGTTCCTAAAGATCTTCGCTGCATCATTTTCTAACGTCGCAGGTATCCCAAGGAAGTTGCAGGTTTGCTGAATTGTTTGCAACTTCTAAACTATGCCGTTGTATCATCAAAACAATATACAGCATGTAAGTTTTAGTTCCCGAGCAACATGTAGTGAATGCGTTTCTCAGATATTGCTGACAAAGACTCAGCAACTGCTGACCTTCAAACATTTACGGTTATCGCCGATCGGCAATACTTTCCTTCTATTAGTCCCTCTATTAGTGCAGTTACGTAGTGCATCGATGTGAAAGCAATTTAACAGACAAGCGCGGGCGCATCTTGCCATCATTTTGCTGCTAAGTTTCCTGATAAGTTTCCTCACGATTGCTGACGTATCGTTAGCACATTTTCGACATATTGCTATCTGGTGAATGTCCCAACTAATGACCTCTTAAAAATCCTTCTCGTTCTAACCGTGCAAATTCATTGGGATGAAAAAGGCGGATTTTGGGTGTCCTTGTTTCAGACCCGTCTAATGCTGCCTTACCATTGGCTGTTTATCTAGTGGTGGGGGAAGCCAAGTATGGTGAAGGTACCCCTGTCAGAAACTGGAGCACGAACAATAACTGGTCCCTTTACCTTAGCACGACTTTAAAGACTCGACACCGCATGTTTGTTACGTTGTTATCTTTCTTATGAAACAATCAATCGAAAGTTTTTATGTGTAATAATAATATATTTTTTAAACAGTCCGTTATAAATTTTTACGTTTCAAGTGTGGAATTCAGAAATCTCATATGAGCAAGTACTATAAATCGAAAGGCTATTTTCTCATCAGAGTTAGAAGTAGAATTTCACAAAATAATCGATTTACATATAACGACGGAATAACAAATTCTACCAATTTTCATTTATCTTTATTTTCTTATTACCCCGTGTTCACGACTGGACTGTTATATTCGATTGCTAAAATTCATGTTTAAGTATTCATGTCGGGCATGTATAGATATACAGATTTTGAAAGATACAAACGATATCAAATGATAGTGGCTCTTGAGTTATCCTGAATAAAAGTTCCTTATTCTCTTTTTGTTTCGCAATTACGCTTTAAATGATTTCAAGTAGACATTGTTATTGAAATTGCCGTGTGCATTATATACACGTGCGATAAGGAGCTAAAAGAGTAAAACATTTCAGAAGTGGGTCAAAAATTCATTAGTAGCAATAACCTTTTTGTCAACTCTACTTAAAAATTAGTTTGTTTCATTGAAAAAGATACGATAAACATAATCACTGCTATTGATATTTACAATGAAGTCTGTAGATTGATTTATTGGCTTCGTACGCTAGTCGCATATGTATATCAACTCGCGTACGAAACATGCTCAGTCTCATTTTTCGCGCGCTCAGGTACAATTATTTGTTAATTTATATTTTGAATATTTTGAAAACCAAATTGTAAATCGATAATATCGTAAAAAATGTACGACTGGTGTCGGTTGAAACGAAAACAAATTGTATCTTAATGTTATCAATGATTCTTACAGAATTTTCTTGTGAAATTTTGGTTACGACTTCTTAAAACAATATCACAGCTGATCAGGCAATTACCATTTATTCGCTAAAAATAGATGGCAGATTAAATGGTTTTATTTCATTCGATACCGTGTTTTAACTAACACCGGTCTCCCCTCTCATACTAAACGTTATGAAGCATACCAACATTCAACGTGATTCAATATCAATCTCGATTTTTTTAAACGCCTTGTATACACAAAGGGAATTATAAGAATAAAATATATATTAGTCACTTTTCTTAAATTGTAGCATGAAGATGGTAAAAAATTGAAAATTTCTAATATTCCTAATGTTTACAACAAACAGTCCCGTCGATCCTCCCATAATAATGTTAAGTATTTTTGTTATTTTCATCACTACGTGCAATCATGCAGTATCAGGCATGAAGTGAGACGCAATTTTATTGATGTCATCACTACATTGGTTATAATACTTTAACTTCATTTGAGACTTTTCAAGGTGACGCGATCTACAATCTTCCCTGGTTATATAATCGATCACGATAATCACGTATAGATTAGTAACAGTTTAATGAAATATCAATAATTAATTTTGTTCATTCGATAATAGTACCAGCATATCTACGTTCTGTATAAAAAAAAAAATAGTTCACAGATCAGTTCCTGCTGATCAGTATTTTTTTTCTTGCTCAAGTACCGCCACTGATAACGAGATGATCATCTAATACTTTTCGCATACTTCAGAATTCGCTCATTCTAATGTGGTGTTTTTAAATCTAAGCCGATGATGATTTGAATGCCAGAATTTTACTTGAACGGTGCTACAGGAACTGTTCGAGTACTTCTCATGTATTTTATTGAGGCGATAAAAACGTGGAACGCAACTTGCGACAGGAACTTTTCACCTACTTCTTGCGTACATGATTAGACATTCTTTATCCGTAACATAAAATTTCAACGCAATATGATTTGTCACGCGAATTTTTTTCGTATTCGATTTGCGAAACAAGTTTTTTCGCGGTATATGATAGATTCATGTACAAAATATTGAAACCTGTACAGATCAGGAAGTTGAGTTCGTCGTTGTCGATCTAAACCACCAAAGTGAGAAAACCACCTCCAGACACAAGACACGAACTTTGAACGTAATTTGCGACTCAAACTTATCACGTACTTAAGTAACGATACTTTCAATTTCGAGAAGCGTGTTGGAGTAGCGAAATTTTTAAATCACATGAAAATAGGTCTGAAACTTGAATTCGATATCGTAGTTTACGTAGATATCGAAAAAATTCATATTGGTCACCTGGAATCCCAGCATTCAAATCATTATCAGCCTGCATCTAAAAAACCACATAATAAGCGAATCCTGAAGTACGTGAAAGATACAGGATCGTTTTACAATTAGTGGCAATTTTCGAGCGTAACAAAAAACTGGTCAGTCGCTGATACGTGACGTAAATTTGTTTTTTTTTTTCACGGGGGACGTTAATCAAAATTATTCTCCTATAATTGAGAACGGAAATATCAATTTCTCCAAATCCATCAATCATTATTTTAAATATGATATCCGTAGTGGGTAAGATTACACGATTTATTACATTGTCATTAAAAAATGCTGAGAATGATTACTATTCGTTCTTACATGTACATATTCGTTGCCGAAGATGGAAGCTACTTGCGGCAATTTTTGTCCTAACTTTGACTTTGAGCCAAGCTGCTGTGGGCCGCCAAGAGACTGGCGACAGACGTGAGTTAATCGAATATACATGTATATCGACATAAGATCAATATATTTCAGAAAAAAAACAATACATATCGATCTATCGGACTATCGACTACAACATCGATAGGACTCCGTAGGGTAATATAATGCATATACCAGAAATCCTATTCTCTAACTGGGTGATATATTTATCAGATATATAAAATTTGTGATATAATTAAAATTGCATGATAATTGAATATAAAATCTTAGAAAACCCTGTGGATAACATTTTGTACAGCATCCCAGTTTATTAGAAGTATTATATAATTATAACACCATAAAACTGTACGAGAATCAAACGCAGAACGCAAACTACAATACGATTATAATTTTTGACAATCTGTAAATTATTTCCATTTGCAATAAAATTTTTGTCTGGCTGATTGCGATAATTGTACGTCATTATAAATCCAATACTATCTCTGATAGCTGAGGAATTGATTATATAAATATAATGGTGAATACCATACAAAATAATGATACAATAATGTTAAGATATTTGGATAATAATTTGATACAGTAACCAAGAATTGCGTTCGCTTCATGATCAATCATATAAAAAATATTTTTAAACAGACATATATGTATATACTTTAACAATATAATTTATAATAAAAACCCTATGATAATTCAATATTCGTAATAAAGGAGGATTGCAAACTAAAGTTACAATACATCACCATTATTTTTATTTTCGATATTATTTCTTGTGCAATTATTAATCCAATCTCACCTTGCAGTAAGTCTCACCGGCAATGAGCGTCTCACCCGAAACTCAAAGTTAGAATTGTTAATTGACAGCTTCAGAGACGTAATGCGGAATGGAAATGATAGCTTAAGAATCCCTGTTCTGGACCCATACGAGGCCGACAAACTGATAATTAAATTAGATGAAGATTGTCTCACGTAAGTTTTGCAAACAGTTAGCCATTTTTACAAGTTCGAGAATGTTAATAGAGAATCTTTGTTTGACTTTTACAGAATCAACAATAAATTATCAAATATACGAATGGATGGACTTGCCAATTATACAATTGATACGGCAACCTTCTCTCTCCTCAGAATGAGAATTAGAGTTGCTTTAACTTGGCCAATCTTGCCCATTTCTACTGAGTACGATATCGAAGCTAATTCAGGTGTTCTTCCTATTTACGGATCCGGAACCATCAAGTAAGTGTAGACTCTTACCAATCATCAATTCATCCGTTTGTACTAATACAATTGAACGTTTGACGAAAATACTCTTTAGCAGTTTTAGTAGTTTAAATAGTCATTAGAACCAAAAATAAAGATAGTAGAAAGAACTTGACGTGCAGTGATAAAATAGAAGTTGGGAACATGACCGCAATATGAAAAAATATGCATACAGGGTATTTATGTGTAACCGTATATAAGTATCAAAATTGGATTTTTCATCAAAATTGAAAATAATATTCGCTGAAGCGTTTTTCATTTTTGAGGTATAAGTTTTAATATAAAGAACATTAGAATTTGCGATCATTATCTGATAAGCGTTGAGTTTGGAGATCTCTCTGAGTTGGGAATGCCACAGCCTAATTAGTACTGCTTTACCTCTTATTTACATTTTCTTAAACATTGTTAACATCCATAGAGTCCATTAGTTTATTACCAACTTAAATAGTAAGAAAATAATTGAAATGCATCCTAAGAAGTAACGCAGACAAATAGGCTCTATGGTTGTTAACAATGTTTAAGATAAAAAATAAAAACACGAATAAAAGAAGAAATGAATAGGACGGCGAGGAGTTACAAATGAACCGCGATATTGTATTGGAGATCAGTCAAATGAACACTGACAGGCGATCATGTTCTTTGATCTTAAGTATTTTCAAATTTAGACCCAAAAAATGAAAAACGATTAAACACGTCTCTTTTCATTTTTTATAGAAAATTCAACCAACAGAGAGTGCAAATTCTTATTATCTCATTGCAAACTGGCAAAAATTTTTTAATATGTTGAGCGCGATTCGGATCCTGTGAACCTCACACGGCCTCTCGGTAATGCATGTCAATGGACATATCCTGCAGGACTAATAACCATTTAGAACATAATACTTACGACGATTAATCTGAATTTGAGGGGGAAACTACGCATTAACCCTTACAGACCTGATGTAGGTAAAATGTGTCCCATTAGTCTTTTACCAACATGGGACAAACTTATACCTACGGGTCTGTAAGGGTTAAAGGGTATTGGCAATATCGCATTATCGTATGAGAAAACTATACCATCTGACCTGTAAATTTATTTGTTCAATATACATTTTATTCGTATGGCAGCGCAAGAGTCCCCGTCCGGTTACAAATTCAAATATGTCAGATTCACGTAAAGACTTTGGTGTCTTGTCTATCCTTCAGTTTCAGATAATTTTTTTCATAAATATTGTCCAAATGACTATCATCTCATCGTCAACATCTTTGCTGAGTGTCTTAGATAATACATTTACATGAAGAACATATAAGTAATTTTTCTTGCGTATAATTTTTATAAGCGGTGATTCAAGATGACCGCTCGAGTTTTTCAATTTTCTGAAATTCATTTACCTTGTGAGGGTGAGCTATGACAAGCAACGATGTTCAATCTATCTCTATCTAGAGCATACTAATACATTGGAAAACTAATGAAGGTATAGCTTTAACTGACACAGATAAATTTCACCTTTATATGTTCTACGTCCCTATTTTATAGTGTTGACTTAAAAGGTAAATTAGACTGGACATCTTATGTGATATGGTGTCACGCCAGCCCGGTTGTCGCCGATACCAACAGTTGGACGTTATCCATTGAAATGCTATATATAGATATATATTCTACTTATAAGAATCGCGAGGCGCAGAATACACAGGCAAACTATAGTCTGTTTATATTCAGCCAAAGTTTATAGTATACAGAGATTGTGTATTTCTGTCGGTGTAATACCGACGAATGGTCAAGTACCATGGATCGATAACTCATCGACAATCAACTTAGAAATCATGATATAGTAGCATGTATGAAAGGTATTTGTATTTGATACCATGAAGGAGATTCCGGACCTCCTATTTACTATGCAAATAAAATATCAAAAAAAATTATACGTAATAGGATTTTTATAGATATTGTTTTTCAAAGGGGAGTTCAGTGCACATTCGGCAATTTTAACGATAATTTTGACACCACTTTCGCAATAATGAACTCCAAATTAAAAGAATAATACCACTGAAAATTTCGATGTGAATTTGAAAATTGCAAAAGATTTCGAGTTGGATTACTCTTTAGATTTCAGATTAATCATAGTGAAAGTGGTATCAAAACAATTGGTTAAACTTGCAGAATGTGCGTTGAACTCCACTTTGCGAAAGAATCTATAAAAATCGTATTATTTACAATTTTCGTCTACATTTTACTCGCAAGATAATGAGAAATCTGATGTCTCCTTAAAAAGAGAGCATATGCCTATATTATATTTTGTGCGCATATTCAAAATATACAAAGAAAATTCCTTCGTGGAAATTCCATATAAATAATTTTTTAACTTTTTATCAAAACCTACCTAAGTTCATCCTGATTATGTCAGCATTAATGATTTTTATAAGTATTTTAAAAGACAATTGCATTTCAGATTGAATGCCAAGAACGTGACTTTCTCTTCCGTGACTACAGTCGCAGTAAATTCAGAATTGTCAGTTTACGTCCGCAGCTTCACCTCCAAATTGGCCTTAGAAGCTCTAGACGTAAGATACACCCATTATTCACGTCTTATTTTACATTATCTTGATAGGAAGAAAAATATTTTCTGCATAATATTTATAATGTCAAATTCAACTCTAAGTTCAATTCCAATATCATCAATCCTCTATAATATACATTATCAAATTTTTTATACCATTAGTATACTCCTTGCATTTTGGAATTTTGCAGTTTACCATTACTGGACTATATAATTCCGAGAAGACATCAGAGCTTACAAGTACTATCGTATCCGATAACGCACCTCAAGTCGTTGAGAAATATCAGGAAATATTGACCGGAAGACTAAATATAATCATCGTTGATAGAATGAACAAAATATTCAATAATATGTCTCTCTCTGATTTTATCAACATCATCACTTAATGTTCTAGCCTGTGAAAAAAAAAAGAAATAGAATATAAAATTCATTTGGCTTGATTAATTATAGAATAAATACCTTTCAATTTGTGTTCCTGTTATTTTTCCAACCTGACCCATGCAGACTATTATTTTCAAAGAAATATTCATTCTCGAAATGTACGCGCCATTCACGTTGTTTTTCAACGCGTATTCAGGCCCGATTGTATTAGGCGGTAAGAAGGGGAAGTAGTAGACGTAAGCAGCCGCAGCAGGGGCTAATGTTCATCTAAAACCAAGATGGCGATAACTGGCCACAAGAGTGCATGTACCTTTTCGCGCTCTTCGTATTTTATTAAATAAACAGTATTAAAACAGCTGAAAGTAGTTTTACTTATGTTCAACCCGATAAAACACGAAATAATTATGTTGTATGTATATTAATTGTATCGTTGCCAAGCCAGTAAACTGTGCAGTTGAGGTACTGATTTCGCGCGTTAAGATGCCAGCGCCCGCTTGTGGTGAATTTTTGCAACATTGTATTACTGTAAAAACATTGATTCTTATGGTAGAATATATTTTAAGGAAGATTTTCCGATTAAACCGAATTAAAAACTAAAAACTATCGTTATAAATAAAAAACCCCAATGTTTAATTTATTTTTAAAAAACATTGGATATGGCTAAAACTTTTCCTTCTTTGATTTATTTCGTAAAAAGTGTACGTAAATTTTCGTCTGCTTGGTGTTGTCTGTAGGTTGCACTGGTATTTAAGTTTATAACATCTGACAGCAGCAATTTAACATGGTCACGTGAGGGTAATGCATGTCATCATCAGGACATGATTCAAAGACATTACCCACATAAATACAATTTTTTTCAATAATACGAAACAGATATCACTATTAGAGATTAACCGAGTTAAAATACATATTGGAACACAAATAAACTTAACAATTTTAACTTTTCCGAGTGATTCTAACCTGTATCCGCGTCATTAGGTTAAATTTCGATTTAATTACTTTAATGAATTATTGACAATTGTCAATGTTACTTACTTTTTTCGTTGAACCGTGGCAATCCAGTTTTCACGCCTTATCTTCTTGAACACTTGTATGCTTGAAGTGGAAAAGCGATAAAAGCGTATGCCCGGTGAATTTACCGAGGTGTTTGTGCAATCCTCGAGTCGCAAAAGCTTGCAAATTGATGTGAATATTCTCTGGGCGAAATAAGGAGTTACGTGTTTTGACATTCCTCTTCTTGTCCATTTTTTCAATTTCACGTATTTTTTACAAGATCCGGAATCGACAGGTGTTGCGTAACTTCGCCACCGGAAGTCGCAAAAGGCTGCAAATTGGTATACTCATTCTTTGCGACTTCCGGTGGCGAAGTTACACAATACCTGTCGACTCCGAATTTCGTAAAAAATACGTCAGATTTAAAAAATTGACTAGGGCAGAAATGCGAAAATACGTATTCCAATTTTTCATCCCAACAATGAGTATACCAGCTTGCAACCTTTTGCGACTTCCAGTATAAAAGTTAGAGAGTACTTGTCGACTCTGGATTTCGTCGATATCTACGTCCAGGAAGACGAAAAATCCAAAACCTACGTCCAGGAACACGAAGACCTGCAAAATCTACGACGAGGAACAGGAAGATTCCAGACTCTACGGCGAGGAACACGAAGACTCCAGAATCTACGGCGAGGAACAGGAAGATTCCAAAATATACTTTCAGAAACATGAAGGCTTCAAAATCTACGGCGAAGAACACGAAGACTGACTTCCAGGAACACGAAGACTCCAAAATGTACTTCCAAAAACAGGAAGACTCCAGTATCTACGGCGAGGAACACGAAGACTCCAAAAACTATGGCGAGGAACACGAAGACTGCAAAATCTACGGCGAGGAACAGGAAGACTCCAAAATGTACTTCCAGGAACACGAAGACTCCAGAATCTACGGCGAGGAACAGGAAGACTCTAAAATGTACTTCCAGGAACACGAAGACTGCAAAATCTACGGCGACGAACACGAAGACTGCAAAATCTACGGCGAGCAACGGGAAGACTCCAAAATATACTTCCAGGAACACAAAGACTCCAAAATCTACGGCGAGGAACACGAAGACTCCAGAATCTACGGCGAGGAACACGAAGACTGCAAAATATACTTCCAGGAACACGAAGACGCCAGAATCTACGGCGAGGAACACGAAGACTGCAAAATCTACGGCGAGGAACGGGAAGACTCCACACTATACTTCCAGGAACACGAAGACGCCAGAATCTACGGCGAGGAACACGAAGACTGCAAAATCTACGGCGAGGAACGGGAAGACTCCACACTATACTTCCAGGAACACGAAGACGCCAGAATCTACGGCGAGGAACACGAAGACTCCAAAATCTACTTCCAGGAACACAAAGACTCCAGAATCTACGGCGAGGAACAGGAAGACTACAAAATATACTTCCAGGAACACAAAAACTCTAAAATCTACGCCGAGGAACACAAAGACTGCAAAATCTACGGCGAGGAACGGGAAGACTCCAAAATATATTTCCAGGAACACAAAGACTCCAAAATCTACGGCGAGGAACAGGAGGACTCCAAAATGTACTTCCAGGAACACGCAGACTGCAAAATCTATGGATAGGAACACGAAGACTGCAAAATCTACGGCGAGGAACGGGAAGACTCCACACTATACTTTCAGGAACACGAAGACGCCAGAATCTACGGCGAGGAACACGAAGACTCCAAAATCTACGGCGAGGAACAGGAGGACTCCAAAATGTACTTCCAGGAACACGCAGACTGCAAAATCTATGGATAGGAACACGAAGACTGCAAAATCTACGGCGAGGAACGGGAAGACTCCACACTATACTTTCAGGAACACGAAGACGCCAGAATCTACGGCGAGGAACACGAAGACTCCAAAATCTACGGCGAGGAACAGGAGGACTCCAAAATGTACTTCCAGGAACACGCAGACTGCAAAATCTATGGATAGGAACACGAAGACTGCAAAATCTACGGCGAGGAACGGGAAGACTCCACACTATACTTTCAGGAACACGAAGACGCCAGAATCTACGGCGAGGAACACGAAGACTCCAAAATCTACGGCGAGGAACAGGAGGACTCCAAAATGTACTTCCAGGAACACGCAGACTGCAAAATCTATGGATAGGAACACGAAGACTGCAAAATCTACGGCGAGGAACGGGAAGACTCCACACTATACTTTCAGGAACACGAAGACGCCAGAATCTACGGCGAGGAACACGAAGACTCCAAAATCTACGGCGAGGAACAGGAGGACTCCAAAATGTACTTCCAGGAACACGCAGACTGCAAAATCTATGGATAGGAACACGAAGACTGCAAAATCTACGGCGAGGAACGGGAAGACTCCACACTATACTTTCAGGAACACGAAGACGCCAGAATCTACGGCGAGGAACACGAAGACTCCAAAATCTACGGCGAGGAACAGGAGGACTCCAAAATGTACTTCCAGGAACACGCAGACTGCAAAATCTATGGATAGGAACACGAAGACTGCAAAATCTACGGCGAGGAACGGGAAGACTCCACACTATACTTTCAGGAACACGAAGACGCCAGAATCTACGGCGAGGAACACGAAGACTCCAAAATCTACGGCGAGGAACAGGAGGACTCCAAAATGTACTTCCAGGAACACGCAGACTGCAAAATCTATGGATAGGAACACGAAGACTGCAAAATCTACGGCGAGGAACGGGAAGACTTCAAAATGTACTTCCAGGAACACGAAGGCTCCAGTATCTACGGCGAGAAACACGAAGACTTCAAAATATACTTCCAGGAACACAAAGACTCCAGAATCTACGGCGAGGAACACGAAGACTGCAAAATATACTTCCAGGAACATGAAGACTGCAGAATCTACGGCGAGGAACACGAAGACTGCAAAATGTACTTCCAGGAACACAAAGACTCCAAAATCTACGGCGAGGAACAGGAAGACTCCAAAATCTACGGCGAGGAACAGGAAGACTACAAAATGTACTTCCAGGAACACGAAGACTGCAAAATCTATGGCGAAGAAGACGAAGACTTCAAAATCTACTGCGAGGGACGAGAAGTCTTCAAAATGTACTTCCAGGAACACGATGACTGCAAAATCTACGGCGATGAACAGGAAGACTCCAAAATCTACGGCGAGGAACACGAAGACTCCAAAATCTATGGTGAGGAACAGGAAGACTCCAAAATATAATTCCAGGAACACGAAGTCTCTAAAATCTACGGCGAGGAACACGAAGATTGTAAAATCTATGGCGAAAAACAGGGAGACTACAAAATCTGCATCCTGGGTCACGGAAATCTACAACATGAATACTTCGGCTTCTCACTTGTAATAATAAATAGCATTATAATATGTTTAAGCTACCTTATACGGGTTTGCGTCTGATTGAACCTCAAAACAATTGCGAATCGTGAGTTTGGTGTGAAGGTGCTGCACAAAGCTAAGACGTTCCGTTCCGCCAGTATCAGAAATTTGTCAAAAAATGATAAAATTTCGAATGGAAATATCACCCTTATTATGTGTGTAATTTGTTCAATTTTTGTTTTCATCTCTATTATTTTTTCTTGCTCTACAACTTTTACATTTAACTTTTTTCAATATCATTTGAAATGGGGAAGATAATTTTTTTCTTTTGCGACCGAAAGTTAAGTGAACAATAACAGTATGCCCATTCGATGCGCAGTCAAAAAATATTCGATGGTCGTGACATCAGATTTCGAAATTGTGCACCGTTTCACCCCAAATCTCAAACGTGCATCTGAGCTGATACACTCTGTATTTATATTCGTCTATTTATCATATTGTTCATTCGTTATGAACAAGAGTTTGCTTCATAGTCAATGGTAATGAGGAAGTAGGAGAACTAATATTTCGCCAGAATAGTGTGCAAATGTGCTCATGCCACAAATCACCCCAGTGTGACCTATCTCGTTGGTTTAGTGAGTAATATTAACCCCTTGTACTAAAATGATGGGTAGAATTCGTCATGAGTTTTCTACGCCAAAACGGCAACAATAAACTGCACTA